GGGACCACAGGTGCGGGCTACCACGCCCAGCTAATTTTTGCATTTTTTGTAGAGACAGGATTTTGCCATGTGCCCATGCCAGTCTTGAACTCCTGAGTTAAAGTGATCTGCCTGCCTTTGCCTCACCAGGTGCTGGGATTACAGGCATGTGCCACCGTGCCTAGCCCATTAGAAGATTTTTGAAAACTTTTATAAATAAGTTCTACTGTGTCTACCTGGCACATAGTAAGTGCTCACTCAGTGGTCTCCTCCTTTTTCTGTCAGAGAAATTGCCAAGAGAGTTGCCAAATTTTCACCACAAGTGAGCAAAGTGCCAAAACCAAAGTCCCCCGTTGAAAGTCTCCAGCTTTAGAGTTATCATGTAAAACTTCATTTGAAAATTGGTTTCTTGACACTTGGTAAAAAGAAACATAATTACACAACAGGTTCCTGGATCAGTTCACAAAACATAGTTAATTCAGAGTATATGCAAAGCACCATACTTATATTGGTCTACCTGCTCCTAAGCAATGTAAAGAATTTTCTATTCAGAGAAATGTAGGCATCAGGCACATCTCCCCTCTTACTCCACTCAAGAGATGAGAAATTTCAAGATGGCTGTTATTTCTAGTTGCATACATATATGTAAGACAGAGAAAAAGGCTAAATCATTGACTCTGGGTATTCTGAATCGGGTTACAATAAACAGGTAAGGCTCAGGTTCCTCTAAGACCTTAGTTTTGTGCTAAAGAGTTCATACATAAAGCAAGAACCACAGGTACTTCACTCCTAAAGTCTTCTTTCAGTATATATTTTAAAGATTTAATTTAAGGCTGGGTGTGGCAGCTCATGCCTATAATCTCAGCACTTTGGGAGGCCAAAGTGGGTGGATCACCTGAGGTCAGGAGTTTGAGACCAGCCTGGCCAACAGGGCAGAACTCTGCCTCTATTAAAAATACAAAAATTAGCTGGGTGTGGTGGCAGGCACCTGTAATCTCAGCTACTCAGGAGGCTGAGGCAGGAGAATTGCTGGAATCCAGGAGGCAGAGGTTGTAGCGCGCTAAGATCATGCCGTTGTATTCCAGCCCTGGCGACAACAGTGAGATTCCATCGCAAAAAAAAAAAAAAAAAAGATTTAATTTAATCTTAAAATTGATTATGAAATTAAAGACAATTAAGGACTTACATCTAGATGGCAGCTAAATTAGGAAAGTTTTTGTTTGTTTGTTTCCTTTAGACACTCCCAACCAATTTCCAGGTAACAAACTTGAATGCTTTGGTTTCTCATATACAGAGTATAAATCTACAATATAAACTTATACTCTTTATGTTCTATATAAACTAAAACTAATGTGCTCTTCTCAACCATAATTTGAATACACATGCAATAATTCAAGATAACTTACACATACAGAGGCAGTAGGAATTCATCTTAAAATAATTCAACTGATTTGTTCTTCATTTCTCAATTTGAAGGACTAGGAGTCCAAAATATTTCCTTGTTGCTGTTGCTGCTACTGTTTTCCTTGTTTAAGTAACTTATTGTCATGTCCGCATTTATAATTGTAAGTAACACACATTTTTTATTATCACAGTCTATGATGCTATCATAGTTATGTATTACCTGTGGAGTGACCAACTTTAAGGCTGTCTATTCCATCAAAATTTCTAGTCTTTGATCAGAATTGTAAAAAAACAAACAAACAAACAAAAAAAAGTTCTTACTTTAGGCAAATCTATAGTTTGTAAATCCACTTTAAAGTCCACGTAGGCCGGGCGCAGTGGCTCAAGCCTGTAATCCCAGCACTTTGGGAGGCCGAGGCGGGTGGATCACGAGGTCAAGAGATCGAGACCATCCTGGTCAATATGGTGAAACCCCGTCTCTACTAAAAATACAAAAAAAATTGGCTGGGCATGGTGGCGCGTGCCTGTAATCCCAGCTACCCAGGAGGCTGAGGCAGGAGAATTGCCTGAACCCAGGAGACGGAGGTTGCGGTGAGCCGAGATCGCGCCATTGCACTGCAGCCTGGGTAACAAGAGCGAAAACTCCGTCTCAAAAAAAATAAAAAAAAAAAAAAAGTCCATGTAAATTGTTTTACTTATTTTACAGATAAAGAAACTCAACCACTACATGCTAATATTCCTCAAAATAAGCAAAATGTACATAAATTTTAGAATCTGAATCTTAATTGAAATAATGATCCAATAAACTTCAAAATTGCTAAAATTGTCATCATTTATTTGAAGAAAAGAAAATCTTCAAGTAAGCCCACAGATCTTAGCTAAGAGCAAGAGGAATTTTTAATAACCTTTTTAAATGTTGATGTCTTTTCCAGACTTCTCTCCTTAGGCTAATTAGATACTTAGAAAACTGTACAATAATTAATCCATATGCAAATTTTAAACTATAGCTTGAAAAATTTATTGGTTACTGTAAATTACTACTAATTTTCCAGTGTAGGGTATGCCAAATATTCAATAAGTGCCTCATCTGTGAAAGAGCTGGTGCTCAGCACTGATTTTTCAAGAGCCAACTTGAAGAAATGAATAAAGTTGTAAAAGTTGTAATGTGTATAAAATTGTAATGTGTATAAATGTTGTAATGTGTACAAATGCACATTATACAACAGCATAGAACTTCTTTGTGTTACTTGTAAAAGGAAAGGTTTTTACTTTCCTCATTATGAATTCCAAAAATTCAAAAACTGTTTTTTAAAAATTTTGACTGCTTTCATTATAGGAATATTGCTTTCATTATAGGAATATTTCATTACAGGAACACTGATTTCATTATAGGAATGTTTCATTCCTACTCTTTCCAGCAGATAAACATTCTCTTCTTTCCATCAGCAACCAATTCAAACTTATCTTTCTTTTTAAAGGCAAATTGCAACATATCATTTCAATTAAACCCAAAATATTACTCCTACATTTCTTATTCAAAGGTCTTAGGAATAAGCCTCATGCTTCTCACAGGAGATGAAATGATCCATCAACATATGTAACTGATGTTTCCCATTTTGATTTCGAGATTTTGTACCTATTGTCTAATCATAAACTTTTGCAATTAAGAGTTTCCTCTATATTTTATAGGGCTTCAGCCTTAAAAAATAGTCTATATGATTTAATTATCAATTTTTCCCATAAGTGAAGTTCACTGAAATTAATTTTCTCACATTTTCATTAATTATACAGAAAATATTTAATTTTTTTTAAAAAGCCTCTTTAAAGGGTATGTTACTCATTTTGTTACTCTGACTTTCAATTCCTGAATATAATAAATTTTAAATGACTAAATTTTATTTATTCACTGATTAAGTCAGATTTATGACCTCCTCTCCCCATTCCAGCTACTCTGAGTTTTGAATGAAACAACCTCAATTGTAACAGAAGAAACATCTGTTGCTTTTTTTTTCCTCACCAGGGCTTTCCTAACTGAAAGAAGAAAGGCTCTCTGCCTGACCTCCTCTCCCTCTCCCACTCCAGTTCCTCACCCACACTAAGTTCCTTAAAACTTTAAGTATTATTTAAAATTTTACTGTATCTATTAAAAACATCATAGTTTATTTAGAAACATTCACTTCCTTATAGAACTTCAAAGAGTGACTAAATTTTTGCTCTGCTTTCAAGATGCTATTATATATTAAAAAAATAAGACGTGTCTAATAGAATATACATTGTAACTAAAATGCAAACTTCAAAGGTGTAACTGAAATGATCAATGCAATCAAGTTGTCACATATTCCAGGCTCATTAAGAACTGTTTAGGGATAAGATTTTCTTCAGTGTCCAGATTCATATAGCATCTTGTATGCTATATTTTCTTTGCCAATCCAAGGCTAACATAATGGCAGTCACTACCCCAAGAGGCAGACACCAAATGGTGCCACCCACACTCTCACACTGTGCCTCATAATAAACCATAAAGCAGTGGAATGCACTGGCCCCTTTATGAGCAAACAATGCCTAAGCTTCATTAGAATACAGCTGACATTTTCAAAGCACAAATACTTTTAAGAAAAATGTACTAGGGAAAAAAAGGAATGAAACAGCTATAAAAGCTGAAATATTTTTCAAGTGTCAGGCTGATTTCCAAAGATCCTTGGGAAGTATATTTTGCTGTTGGCAATTTAAAAGTTTTCATAAATGGAAAAAATGTTTAGTTAAGGGCAAAGCTTATTTTATTAACTACTGGGGGAAAAAATGAAAGTAAAAACTATCAATTGAATTGCTTTCACAAGTAATAACCATGAAGTACCTTTAAAATTACTGTGTCCTCAACTGCTGCTTTAGTTCCTGAATTAAGAAAACTGAGCTCCAAAATTATTTTCACATTTTAATTAATTTATATAAGTGAGTAATAAACTAACTCTTCCCCTCCCCCCGCCTACCCCAACCCCCATACATAACCCTGTAGTTTTTCTGTCTGTAACATGCAAGGACGTCTTGAAATCAGCGTGTTCCTGGCTATTTATCAATTTAATATTGCTGCTGTTTAAAGAATATAAAATAAGTGCTGTAAAAACTCACCCAGCAGTAAGAAACAAACTGATCTCTCTTACCTGGTCTAAGGAAGCATGCCTCTCACTGCAGTACCAACAACACTCTACAGTCTTTGTTACCATTCAGTGGAAACTTGAGACTGTGTCAGACGTAAGCAATCGAGCTCAGAAAAGCTCAATTTAAAATACTTCTCAGTAAAACTAAAAAGATGCTCAAGAAAACTGTTTAGTTAATTGGCTTTCAAAAGACATATGAATACTGTCTACAACAAAGACATTTCAAAAGAAACTGAAAGTGCAGGTCTTAGATGAAGGGGCTTTCCTATATAGAACCTTGCTTTTTTTAATTAAATTAAAAGGATATTTTTATTTTTAAAAACTGCTTAAAGTACACACTTGATCTTAGCCAAAAGGCCGAGAAGCAATAAAAATGCCTCAAGTATTGAAATAACTACAAGTTAGCATTTTTCTAAATATCACTTGTATTTTAACTAACTTAAAAAATAAGATTAAACTTACTCGTGAAACCTGCATAATTTGAATCATACATATCAGAGTAGCTGGCTCCAAAGCAGTCACAAACCAGGAGACTTAATGCATCTTGAAAGCAGAGCAAAAGCACCGCAAGTTTCAGGAGGAAAAAGGAGGAGAAACTCTTGAAAAACCGGTCAGGGCTTTCTGAACCTGTAGTAACTGTCCAGCTTTTGTGGGAGGAAAAAAATGTCCCAGTCCTGCCCCCTGAGATAGGAGGCTATGCTTCAATGCCAAAATGAATGACAGGCCTATTTCTGATATCAACAAAGAGCAGCTTAGTTGTGCTTTTTTTTTTTTTTCTCCAGTTTCCCACACAGAAGTTCCAAAATTTCCAGGTTAGTCCCTTTATATCTAGGGTTAAGTACCTTTCTCCATTTTCTCAAGAGAGAACCCAATTATGTTGTCCTGTTTTTTTTTTTTTAAATGATTAATTAAATATACACACCTAATTATCTTACTTAGTTTTCCTAGCCAGGAAGCTGAACAAAAGATGATCCCTTAAGTTACTTTCCAAATCTATTCTTTGCAATATCGGATAACCATATGACTAACTGCCAATATTAACAAGCTTTTCCAGCATCCTGATGTGTGGCACAAGTAGAAACAAAAAGCAGGTAATATTAAAAACAAAGCAACAGAGATAAAAATTTCACCTAGCAAGATGTAAAGATGATTTGCCAAGGTACATGTCTTTGATTACACAAATTCAAAACAAACACTTTAATCAACAACATATATTTACTCAATACTTATTATGAGCCAAGCACTATTTTGGGCCCTGGAGATAACAGTAGTGAATGCAACAAACAAAAGCCAAACAAAAATCCCTGTCTTTAGTGAGCTTAGTTTATTTCAGCTCACTCTAAATACAACTCTCCTAGATGACTAAGGTACTTTGCTGTCTTTGATTAGTTATCACCTATTCTGAAATATTCCCCTTGGAAAGTATGTCTTGACAGCAACTCCAGGAGATGCTGCAAAGTATCTGGCGCTCTGTTCAGTGTTGAATCACCAGTGTCTAATACAGTGTCTGTTAGACACTCAAATATATATTGAATCAAACAGATCAAAGAGTTTTTTCTTTCTCAAAATTTTCCTTTGCCACCACATACTACATTTACACGCATACAGATATATGATAATAATACAATACAGGGTGTAAATTAAAATTGGGTTGTAAACACGTTAGTATAAACAAAATTGAAAATGAAACCTGGCCGGGCGCGGTGGCTCACGCCTGTAATCCCAGCACTTTGGGAGGCCGAGGCGGGTGGATCACAAGGTCAAGAGATCGAGACCATCCTGGGCAACATGGTGAAACCCCGTCTCTATTAAAAATACAAAAAATTAGCTGGGCATGGTGATGCGTGCCTGTAATCCCAGCTACTCGGGAGGCTGAGGCAGGAGAATTGCCTGAACCCAGGAGGCGGAGGTTGCGGTGAGCCGAGGTCGCGCCATTGCACTCCAGCCTGGGTAACAAGAGCGAAACTCTGTCTCAAAAAAAAAAAAAAAAGAAAATGAAACCTACATGGCCCTCTATCTTTTCAGATTCTACAATAAAATCTGTTTTCACTATTGGATGTGAGGTCAGTGTAATACCTAAGTAAAGAAAGCAGATAAAATTCTATAAACTAAGTTTCTGTGAACAGATTTCAGAGTAGTTTTAAAAGAGAAAAGAAACTTGGAAGTTACACAGAAATCAGTTTGGTGTATTAAAATCTTACATGTTTATATCCATTTACATTCCATTTAAAATTTGGAAACAATTTTAAACTCTCCATCCTGCTTTGCACCATTCTTGATCATCTTACCAGATGACACTTCTTACAGAGCAAATAAGTGTATACCTCTAACCTGTCAGATGAGCTAGAAGTGCTCACCCACATCACCCAAGGCCAGAATATTCAGGGGCTACATATGGTCACACCTACTCTGTTATTGTCTTAAAACAAAAGGAAATTAAATTTCCAAGCACTCAGGTATATTCACCATATCTCTAAATAGGAGAGCATCCCCCCACCCTCCCATCATTCCAGAGCTAGACAATAATTACAAGTTAAAATATAAACTATCTGGTATATGTTTTAACAACAAACGTAATAGCAACCCAAGGTCAGGGAGATGTGATAACTGAGGTCAAGTGACAAATAAAGTAAGGTAAGGCCAAAGTAGGATTCTACTGTTCTTAAAGGATGAATTTTCTTTTTCCCATTCCTTCCTTCAACAAATACTTATTGAGCACCTATTACGTATCAGGCAATGAGCAAGGCAACAAACTGACCTGCCACCTACTGTCCACTCCACAGATCTGACCTTTAGCCTATCTAATCCTCCAAGTTTCCTTCTCCATGCTTGCCTTCCTTCCCAGAGCCTCTTCTCTGGTCTCAAATTCTTTACTACCCTTCAATCTGCTGTGATGCCTTTCTTGACAGATAGCATAATCACTACCTTCTATGTTCTTCTGCAAGTCTATGACACAGTACAGGAAAATTAATAAGACTTCCCACTCAGATGATAAAAATGCAGATTATATAGGTCCTGTCAAACAATTTCTCCTTAATCTTATCTAGAAAATCTATTTAAGCATCATTAATTACAACTATTGATTACCTAGAACACACCAAAGGTGGCTAGACATTATCCTAAGTTTATAAACTGATTTATTTGGACTGAAGTTTGCTACGTTTATTGGCAATCTGACCAAATATTAAGCCCATTTAACACATACATTTATGATTCTATAAGCAGAAATGACACTATGATAGGTATATCTAGCAGGCATTGGCCAAATAAAAACTGTCTATCAGATCTATATAATGAAGTCGTAGAAATTAGCTATGTTGCACCTATACTTATATTTTCAAGTAAAATATGGAATCTTCCTGATAAGCACTACACCTAAAGCAAAAAGTTTCTGCTATTACTTGCATGGTTACGTGCCAATTTCTTTAAAACACTGCACAGTATTTCATGTTTACCTGCTCTTCTTCCTCTTTCCACTTTTTATTTCTTTTTATTTGATTTGTTTTGTTTTGTTTTTAGAGAGAGGGTTTTGTTCTGTAACCCAGGCTGGAGTTGGAGTGCAGTCACAGCTCACTGCAGCCTCAATCTCCGGGGCTCAAGTGATCCCTCCCAATTCAGTCTCCCAAGGAGCTAGGGCCACAGGTGTGCACCACCACACCCAGCTAATTTTTGTATTTTTTGTAAAGACAGGGTTTCACTGTTTCCCAGGCTCGTCATGAACTCTTGGGTTAAAGTGATCCTCCTGCCTCCCTCCCAAAGTGTTGGGATTACAGGTGTGAGCTACCATGCCTAGCTCTACTCTTTCAATATGCACATTTTTCTAAGTTCCGTGCTTGATGCTCTTTTCAAGATATACACTGCCCCTCTGGAGGATGTTACCTATTTCTATAGCTTTATCATCTCTACATAGATGACTATAGACATTTATACTTCTAGTCCTGGCTTTTTCTATTCTGCTATAAACTCTTATTTAGATGCCTATAAGACATCTCCGTTTATATATCCCATAATCTCAGCTCAGCCTCTGCAGTACTGAACTTCCTGTCTACCTTCCCAAACTCACTCATCCTCCTAGGTTCCCCAGGCTTGTTAAAGGTACCAATATCAAGAACAGAAAGTGATTTTCTTCTTGCCTCATCCTCACCACCCAAATGCCCACATTCTTTCCAGCTTTTTTTCTAACACATATCGTTCTCCAAGTTTAAAAACAAAACAAGACATGTAAGTTCTGATGTCTAGAGCTATACCATCCAAAATAATAGCCTTAGCCACATGTGGCCATTTAAATTTAAGGTGATTAAAATTAAATAAAATTAGCCGGGCGTGGTAACTCATGCTTGTAATCCCACTTTGTGAGGCTGAGGTGGGTGGATCTCCTGAGTTCAGGAGTTCAAGACCAGCCTGGCCAAAATGATGAAACCCCATCTCTACTAAAAATACAAAAATTACCTGGGCATGGTAGAGGGCCCCTGTAGTCCTAGCTACTCAGGAAGCTGAGGCAGAATTGCTTGAACCTGGGAGGCAGAGGTTGTGTAAGCCAAGATTACACCACTGCACTCTAGCCTGGGTGAGTGAGCAAGACTCGGTCTTAAAAAAAATAGATAAGGAAATAAAATAAAATTGAAAATTTGATTTCTCAGTCATTTGATTTCTAGCCACATGTCAAGTGCTCTATGGAGCTGCATGTGGCTAACAGCTACTGTATTGAACACTGTAGATATAGAACATTTCCATCACTGAAGAAAGTTGTATTAAACATCTCTGATCTAGAAAATAATAGCAAGCCACTTAAATTAGTAATCCAAATTTTTCTCAATAGAGTCCCAATCTACCTGTGTTAACCTTATCTTCTATCAAAACCCCTATGCATGCTTTAGTAACAACTTAGTGGGCCGACAGAATTAAGTTTAAAAGATGAGGGAGGCCTACATAAGCTTTGTGGAGAGTGATCTATAGAGGGAAAGAAACCAAAGATTTAGAGAGAACAGAAGTAGTTCACTAACGCCCACACAAGTTAGGAAGGGACAAAATTTTAGAGATAATACCTTTAGCCCTGGAGAAGAAATAGGTACAGTGGATAAAGCATGAGCATTACAGTCAGATTACTTCATCCAAATTCAAGTATCTGTTTAGTTATAATGGACAGAAATCAAACTCAAACTAGTTTAATTTGAAAGGAATTGGTTGGCTCAACTGGCTCACAGAATCCCAAACGGTGAGATAACTGAACCAGGATGGTCTACTTGGCAAAACGGTCTTTCACAGCAGCAAGGCCTTTAGCTTTCAAGCTTCCTTCCCTCCTCAGAAACTTTAATATTTCTCTTTCCACTGAGTTTACCTTAACATTTCAAATGCAGAGACTGTTCCTAACTCCTAATCAAACTAAAAACAGCTTACTTCCCATGTCTCTTTAACCACCAAATTTTTTTAGTGTGGTATCTATATCCACTATCTCAGCTTTCGTTCCAACTATTTTTCCTTTTTTGAGACAGAGTTTCATTCTTGTCCAGGCTGAAGTGCAATGGCATGATCTCGGCTCACCGAAAACTCCACTTCCCGGGTTCAAGCGACTCTCCTGCCTCTGTCTCCCAAATAGCTGGGATTACAGGAATGTGATACCACACCCGGCTATTTTTTGTATTTTTAGTAGTGATGGGGTTTCATCATATCAGTTGGGCTGATCTCGAACTGCTAACCTTAGGTGATCCGCCCACCTCGGCCTCCCAAAGTGCTGGGATTACAGGTGTGAGCCACCGTGTCTGGTCTTGTACCAACTGTTAATTAATAATTCTTTAAAAATGCACCAAGTACCTCTGACATAACCACTATGTTAGGCACTAGAGATACAAAAATAAAGAAGGCATAGTCCTTATCCTCAAAAAAAAAAAACAAAACAAAAAATCAAAAACCCAATTTGGCTTCTATCTAACTGCTCAAATGAAACTGCACTGTCTAAAGTAGACAATGAGCTCCGCCTTGATAAATCTAATAATGTGTGCTTATGCTCCATAACCTTGCTTGCTGTATCTGGCCTTGCTGATCTTACAAATCCCATCTTCTTGATACTACTGCAACTATTTGCTCTTGGCTTTCATAAAGACTATTTCTTCTCTATTTCTGCCCTGATGCTTGTGAAGTGGTTCCTTTATTTTTTTCTTATTACCTGCATTCTAAATGGCTCAACCACAGCCATCTCTTTTACTGTACTATTGTTTCAGAAGGTGACTGACTACATAATTTATTATCTAAACTGAATTACGATTAGGAGTGAAAGAGGCACACTATTAATAATTATGCTGGCACACAAATGAAGCTGTTTGGGAAAAGTGGAACATATAGATTCCTGCTTAAAAACCTTCAATAGTTCCTATCTCCACATCTTTAAGCATGCCATACAAAAACCTACTTTGAACTAATTGCCTCTAAGGATTAAATTTCTATCTTTTTATGACTGTCTCAAGGTCTATCTTCTCTCAGTACTCAGAGTACACTGAGACAATAGCATGTCTAATGAAGAGTCTCATTTGACTGCCTCCCCCAACTAACAGCAGCTTCATTACATGTCCCTGGTCAAGAGTGCCCACAAACCACTCAAAAACCTCATTGAGAGAGATGAGAAAATGGAGGCTTACTAAAGTCAAATAACTTGCATAAATTTGAGCAAGTGGTAAAACTGAGATTCTAATTGATATGGTTTGGCTGTGTCCTCACAGATTTCATCTTGAATTCCCATGTGTTGTCGGGAGACACCTGGTGGGAGGTAACTGTATCGTGGGGGCAGGCCTTTCCCATGCTGTTAATAGTGAGTAAGTCTCACGAGATCTGATGGTTACTATAAGGAGGAGTTTTCCTGCACAAGCTCTCTTTGCCCGCTGCCATACACATAAGACATGATATGCTCCTTCTTTCCTTCCGCCACCATTGTGAGGCTTCCCCAGTCACATGGAAAGAGGTTTACATCCAATTAAACCTCTTTTGTAAATTGCCCAGTCTCAGATATGTATTTATCAGTGTGAAAATGGACTAATACAATAATCAAGTTCATGGCTGGGAGTGGTGGCACATACCTGTAATCCCAGCACTTTGAAAGGCCGAGGCAGGCAGATCATGAGGTCAAGAGATTGAGACCATGCTGGCCAACATGGTTAAACCCCATCTTTACTAAAATACAAAAATTAGTCGGGCGTGGTGGTGCACTCCTGTAGCCACAGCTACTCGGGAGGCTGAGGCAGAAGAATCACTTAAACCCAGGAGGCGGAGGTTGTAGTGAGCCGAGATTGCGCCACTGCTCTCCAATTTGGTGACAGAGCGAGACTCCATCTCAAAAAAAAGGAAAACAGAAAATAGACTAATACACTAATCACCTTCAATCACTTTGACATCTCAAAGTCCACATACTTGGTGACTATCAGTATTAATTACAGATATGAATTCAATGAGTAGATTTTATCAAAAGGCTTACTAAAGCCTAATATTGTTCCCTATGGTATATACTAGTCCATTTGTGCCAAATACACTATTCTGGATGGGAAATAAATAAAGATCACTTCAGTCCTCTATATAAAAACTTTTAATAGTTCCTCATCAAATAGATAATACAAGGTCCTTAACAGATACCTGTTTTAGGGTAAATGTTTTTCTAGGCTCATCTCCCATAATTCCAGGTGCAGGACTTATTTACCATTCCCCGAACGGTCCGTGATTTCACTGCTAAGGTCAGCATTTTGTTTACCTGGTAAATTAGTGCATATCCTCCAAAATCCATAGAAAATGTCACCTCCTTAGTTAAGATACTCACAATTACCTGAATAGACCTGGTCCTATTTTGAGTTCCCACATTATTAATGATGTGCATTTATTACAACATTTATCACAGCCATTTGTACTTTACATGTCTGTCACTTCCTGTAGTCTGAATTCACTTCCTGAATTCCTCCATAGCAGGTTTTTGGCTCTCCAGCCCTCCTATTCCATCTCTGTACCCTCCTCGTCTAGAAGACCACATAGTAGACAGCATGTATGCAATAAATATCTATTAAATAAATAAATGACAAGGGACCTTCACTTGATCAAATACCTTCAGTAGCTTCCCATCTGTTAAAAGAACTCCACTGACTGTAAAAGATATTCCAACTACCCTGGCCTTCTTTCCAGGCTCTTTTTTTTTTTTTTTTTTTTTTTTTTTT